AGAATTGTCATAGCATTGTCTTGAAGAATCTCAATGATTGATTAGAGGTGATAATCATTGGTAATATTTCAAACATGACCTAACTTTAAACCAACCATAAAAAATGATATTGAAGATAGTTAAAATCGTAAAATCGACCATTTCTAAAACACTATTTTATAATAGGGTTAATAGTTATTTTCCCCCCTGCCATTTGGAAGAAATTTGAAAATTTTCCCTGTAAAAAAATTTAGATTCCCCCCTCCCCTCAATATTTGAAGATTCCCCTGATTCAGTCCCTCATTAAATCAACTCATCTACTTGTCTGACGTGGCTTTACATGTGTAATATATTTTGTTTTTTTTTCATTTTATGATTTACCACGTATGCAGACATGTCAACAATTACATTTTGTTTTGATTAATTATTTTTGTATCAAATACTTGAGTTTTTACAGAAGCTTATAATTACTAACCCTAAATCCCTAAATTAGTAAATCCATACGCACGCAGAATGTAACACCCCAAATTTTATTGAAATATTTATTTAACTTATTTAAATAGGAATATTCACATTTTGGTAATTTTCGGTGGTTGTTGTGGAATATTGAGAATTATGAATTTTTAAGTTATTTATTTAAATAATAGTATATAATATGAATATATTGGTATTATTATTAATTTAAATAAATATAAGTTAACTAAGGGCAAATTGGACAATTGAGGAGGAGTTAGTGAGGGTAATATTGGAAAGTTCAATTTTAAGACCCAAGGTTAGGTTTAACAAAAAGGAATTTTGATGGGATTATGATTCATTCTTGTTAGACCGTGAAAAGAAATTGAGGCCAAAGCTCTGAGGAAGAGGTTTGAGGCAAAAGCTTCGAAAGGTTTTCTGAAAGTCAAAGAGAAGGCTTAGAGTCGGCAATTAAGGTATGGGGAGTAGTGCCTTCATTGTTTTCAATGTATTTAAAGCCGGTTTAAGGGTTTAAAAGGTTTGAGGCTGATTTTGAGATAAAGGGAATTAGGCCTTCGTGGCCAAATTCTATTTTTGAGGTTTTAACCGTATAGGGATTTGAACTAATGGTCTGATAGATTCGAGGCTGATTTAGGTTAAAGGAAATTAGGCCTTCGTGGCTAAAGATCTGGTTTGACATTTGTTTAACCTTGTAGCGAAATTAGATAGTGAGAAACTCTAATGATTGTGGTGTAGTTGTAAGGATATATGAGAATTAGAGCGCGAATATGATACGAGATTGGTCTAATAAGTCGTAGATTTTGTGTCTTCATCGCCGTAAGGCCTTAGGGGTGATTTAGGGATGTTTTGGGGGCATTGGGGAAGTGAATCGTTTGACTTTTGGGTTGATTTTAGGTTCTGGTGCGTAACAATATTTTGTTGTAATCGTGTGTTCGCACAACGAACGAACTCGTTACAGACTCGCACTACGAAGAATCCTTCGCACAGCGAACTTGCTAGAGAACGTAGCAAAGTTTTGCGAATTATGATTTTGTGCAGTGATGCCTTGACGTTTTGATGTTGTGATTTCTTTGACGAATTAATATGAGTATAACTGTGAATTCTATGTGATTTGTACATGATTATATGATGATTCCTATGATGTAATGATTGATGAACTATGATGATATTTCCATGAGTTTTGATGATTCTATGATGACATGATTTTTGATGATGATGATTATGATGAATGATGATGCACCTATAATGTTATTATGAGGATGATTATTGACGTGTGCATCATGCATTCATGTGTATCCGGACTTCGGTTCAGGACCTTGATTTCTTTGGATCTAGTCCCATTGTGCAGATGTGAGGTATTTTGATGTGCTCCGGTTCTCGAGTAGAATCAATCCTATTAATGGGGATCTATGGAGGGTTGATGGCCCAGTGTCCATCGAGTTATGACGATTGGTACCACGTGCATGAGTCTTGTTTGCATTTGCATTTATGAGATGATCTTGAGTAATTTATGATATTGTGGCCTTTGATGAATATGATGATGTTGAATATGAAAATGAAGAATTTTATATATTGATTTCCTACATTGATTATTATGAATCGTTTTACTCACCCTGCATGTTTGAATGTTGCCTCCACGTGGGTAACGTGTAGATGACCAGGTTTAGCCGTGGATGCCGTCAAGGATTTTTTTCGGAGTTTTGAGTTGTTGGCCACTTTGGTTAATGTAGAGGGTCTTGCTCTGACAGTGTAACATCGGGTTGGGGTCTTTGAGTTAAACCATGATTTATTTGATTTGGTTATTTTGATTATGTTCTCGTATAAGGAAAACTTTGGATTATGCCTTTTTGAGTTCCGATGCAATTTTTGATATCTTTTGGGAAAACCCGTTGTTGACGGAGCTTTGACTTATATTTGATTTATTGGGAAATGGATGCCCTTTGAAGTGATTTTTGTTGAGTTTAATATTTTACTCTGATAAATATGAATATTTTGCCTTTTATTTTGTGGGATAGAAAAGGGTGTTACACAAAAAGTAGTGTCTTCTTCCATCTCACTCATCTTCGTCATTGTCTACATTCTACCCTAGCGTGAGATTGAAATTGAGACTCGTGCTTCAGGTGGAGCAGTCAATGCAAGTGGAGCAGTCTTTGTTGTTATTCTTCAAAAAGGTAGGGTCATTGCTTTTGTTTACTTAACTTGAAAAAATTTATGTTCTGTAGTGGTCCCAACCAATTGTATTGAAGTAAGATTTTTTAGCTTTCATCGTGGTAACATCTGTAATAGACCATTAACCCTAGTTTAACCATTAGGTTTCTTTGGAAAGTTGAAGATGTCTAGGAAGAAAACTCAAGCACCTACTAGGAGTAGTGAAAGGCTAAAAAGTATCTTCAGGCAAGAAAAATGCTCTGGACCAGGTTCAACTGTTGATGCACCTTTGGAAATTGACAACTCACATGTTGATGATACACCTGCTACTGCTACTGGCCAAGAAGACCCCTAATTAGGGACATGTGTGCGCATGATGAAATCATGAGATGAGATATCTAAGAAACTGACCTAGTAATGTGCACTGTCAAGATGGATGTCATTGTGAGCGTTGTAATGTCATTTTGAATGTTGTAATGTCTTTATATTTTGTAAGTTGGAACAAGTTGGTAATGTCTTTATGTTTTGTAAGTTGGAACAAGGCTGTAATGTCTTTGTGTTTTGAATGTTGTAATGTCATTTTATTTTGTAAGTTATGGCAACAAGGTTGCACTGTCATAATGTTGTAATGACTTATATATATATATATATATATATATATATATATATATATATATATATATATATATATATATATATATATATATATATATATATATATATATATATATATATATATATATATATATATATATATATATATATATATATATATATATATATATATATATATATATATATATATATATATATATATATATATATATATATATATATATATATATATATATATGGAAGTAGTATTATGTTTAACCTATGTTGTTTAATTATGCCTATGATTTCATCATGTTGTATTGTCATATTTGTAAGGTTTTCACATTAACCATGTTTTTAGCAGTGTTGTACTGTCACCTTTGTTGACATTTTGTAAGTTGGTACAACATGATTAATGCACAATATGTGCTTAATCCCCCAAATTAATGCACAAAGTTGTACTGTAAGAAAAAACAACGTGTCATTATCTTCACCAAATATATTGCAGAAGATATTAGAATTTAAAGCAACAAATTTGTTTTCATTCAATTCAAATCACTACATTTAATAATATATCACAATACATCATTCATTAATACATCCCAAAACAAAATTCATTCTACATAATTAACGGATAAAATAATACAATTGTGTTCTATTCTTAGACAATGACAACATAAGCCCAAGAACAAATAAGAACTACAACTACAAAGGTCAACTTCTTCCTTGTGCTTTCTAACTTGTTCCTCATATCTTTCATCTCCTTAGAACACAACTTTGTCCCAAATTTTCTTCTAAATTATTTTCCAAAATCCTTTCCAAATTTTCTTAAATGCTCTATCATGACATCACATATGTTACAACCATTATCATCTTCCTCAATTTGATTCCTATGAATAGAATCAAAGTACTCGTCATCCCAATAAAATAGCTGACAATCTTCTTCTTTCTCCCAAAATCTGCACTTCTAATATTTTCTACCTGAATTTGCAGCTGACTTTGAAACTAACATCATCATTAAAAGACTGTGTCCATATTTGGGAATGATTATACCATTAGAGGACATGCTACTCTTTGAACTTTTGGCCATTGATGAATCAACGCAGTTATTTGTCGAGGAAGAAGAAAGAATACAAAGATGTTAAACGTTTGCAGATGGCAGTTCGAAGGAGGGAGAAGACAAATTGGAATTTAGGGTTAACAATTATAAAATTTTCACTTTGTAAAATTAATCATGTTAATACACGTGGTAAACAATAAAATGTAATTGCTAACATATCAGTATACGTGGTAAAAAATAAAATGAAAAAAACAAAATATATTACACATATGCAAAGCTACGTCAAACAAATAGATGAGTCGGTTTAATAAATGACTGAATTAGAGAAATCTTCAAATGTTAAAGAAAAAATTTTATTTTCTTTTACAGAATTTTTTTTAAAATTTCGCTCAAATAACAAAAAAAAAAAAAAATCACTATTAACCCTTTTTATAACTAAAATAGATGACCGGACTAATTTAAATGAACAATTTAAAAAAATATATTTTATATAACTTTCTTTTACACAATTGCATACACCAATATATAATCATTAAAATAACAGTAGTGTAAAAAACAATTATTCATGACAGATCATGCTGACATAAAAGAACATTAAATATTGATATTATACATACCATTTCAAATCTAGTCAATAAAAAAGAATAAACAATGTATCACACTATTCAATTTCTTCACATATTCGTTTCTATAAAAAGAAACCCTTCCCATCCATTAAACACACATCCAAGCATTGAACTCAACAATGGCTTCACTTACTTCCCTTCTCTCCCTCCTCACAATATCCCTTCTCTCCTTTTCCTCCTCATCACAACTCATCTTACCAATCGAAAAAGACCCAATAACCAATCTCTTCTACACATCACTTTCCATAGGAACACCTGAACACACCTTCAATCTAGCCATTGATCTTGCAGGACCAATCCTATGGTACGACTGCAACAAAAACTACACTTCATCAACCTACACTCCCCTCCCTTGTGAATCCAAACTCTGCAACGGTGACGCTGGTTGCACCAGCTGCAATGGCCACTTCAAGCCAGGTTGCTCAAACAACACATGCGGTGCAAACATAATCAACCAACTAGCTGACTCCATTTTCTCAGGTGACACCGGCAAAGATGAGTTGTTCATATCACACACTAAACTCTCAGGACTACTCTCCGGTTGCACCGACGTCGATGGATTCTCAGATGATTCTCCTCTTAAAGGCTTACCAAAGGCCACTAGAGGGATACTAGGGTTAGCAAGAACACGACTTGCATTACCAACACAGCTTTCACTATCATCTTCTCATAAACTTCCTCAGAAGTTTGCTCTTTGTTTACCATCTTCTAACAAGAAAGGACTTGGTAGTCTTTTCATTGGTGGGGTACCCCAACAAAACTCTTCTTTTTCAAAGTTTCAACTTGCCACTATTCCTCTTATTATTAACCCCTTTAGCACTGCTCCAATATTTACTGAAGGTGATGCTTCTTATGAGTATTTTATTGATGTGAAATCAGTTAAAGTTGGTGGTGAGATTCTAAACTTTAAGTCTTCCCTTTTGTCCATTGATAATAAGGGTAATGGTGGAACAAAGTTTAGCACATTGAATTCCTTCACTGTATTGCATAGTTCTATATTAAAACCACTTGTTAGAGATTTTGTGAAGAAGGCTTCTGATAAAAAGATAAAGAAAGTCGAATCAGTAGCACCATTTGAGGCATGTTTTGATTTAAGCACTATTGGTAGGACTGTTACAGGATTGGATGTGCCTACTATTGGTTTGGTGCTAGAAGGGGGTGTTGAGTGGACAATTTATGGTGGTAATTCAATGGTATTGGTGAATAAAAATGTTGCTTGTCTTGGATTTGTGGATGGTGGCAAAGAGCCAAGAACAGCTGTTGTTATAGGTGGAAATATATTGGAGGATAATCTATTGGAGTTTGATTTGGTTTCTTCTAAATTAGGATTTAGTTCTTCACTCCTCCTTCATAATGCAAGCTGTTCCAGTTTAGAAGCTAGTGGAAATCTTGTTTCAATTCAGTGAGATTATGAGTTTAAGTAACTTTTGTTAAGATACGATGATTGTAACTTTTGTCATTTTCCTTTCTCCTTATTATTGTAACTCGTGTGTTGACTAAGAATCAATGTAGTGTATGCATTTTCTTTTAACACTAGATTGGAGAATACATAGGATGAAAGTACTGGATTTATGTATGACACTAGTTCACGGAGAATTCTCTCTATTTGAAGTGTTTTAGCTCAATAGAAAACTATGCTCCGTGTGACTATGCTCCAGAATTCTGTCGTCGAAGAAGATATAATTTCTGGAGGTCCAGAAAACCCAACAAACAGCTAACCAAAAGCAACAGTGAAAATCATCTTTGAATTTACGATTGCATAAGCGGTTAAAATAGAGAAAAAAATTGTTGGCCATGGAATTCTGCTCTGTGAACAAATCAATGCCAAGCCAACAACTCACTCTCGACCAAATCGATGTCTCCAATGCACAAGAATTAAACATATGCAAGAGACTTTACTCTGCATCGAAACATAGGAGACAATTGAGATTAAAATTACCCTGGATAATGCTTCTTCTCAACAAGTTCAGCTTAGTATATAACCTATTCAACAAAGTTTTCCAGTCAAAAAATTAAACTTTATTCAGAACCTTCGACCTCCAAACATAAGACACGCCTTTTAACACCAATGGCTCAATACCTGTTCCCATATCTATTTTTTCAAGTATGTCTCTGTGCCTATATGTTGCCTTCAAAGTTTGTGCTCATGCAAGAGTTTCTCCCTATTGTGATAAAACCTGAGGAATATGCACGGTCAAATTGATAAAAAAGTGTGACAAAAAATATTGATTCTATGAGAATTAAGTTTTAATTATTCTTTTAACAATTAAGTAATTTATGAGTTAAAATAAAAGAAGGTTATGAAGATCAAATTAACTTGTTGGAGGCTAGGGATAAAGAAGCGAAGGCCTTGAGGGAGAATGACAAAGTTGTGATCCTATGAATGTGATGTCGTACAATATTAGAGGGGGTGGAAATGTTGTCAAGAGAAAAAGGCTTGCTCACCAAATTCAATCATATAAAGTCGATGTTGTCTTCATTCAAGAAGCTAAAATGTGTGATTTAGATTCCAAGTTAGTGGCGTCTTTGTGGGGAGGTGTAGATGTGAAGTGGATTGAGTTTTCCTCTTCAGAGGCGTCGAGTGGGATGGTTATCATGTTGAGGAAGGATTTCTTTAATATGTCTTTCAATCTCAAAGATATTGGCTTCGTGGGGCTTAACGTCTTTTGGAGAGGAGAAGAGTTATTTTTAGTTAATGTTTATTTGTCGTGCAACTTAGCTGAAAAGAAGCTGTTGTGGAGAGACTTGGTTAAGAGCAAGGAAAGTTTATTAAGGGAGAGTGGATTATTGAGGGAGATTTCAATGCAGTATCGTGCAGGTCAGAGAGGAAGGGAGTGAGAGAGAGGGGTAGAAGAGGGGAGATGGAGGGATTTTTTTAGGTTTTTATCAGATCTTGATTGTATCGATGTTCTGCGCATTGGAGGTCGCTTTACTTGGTTCAATAGGGCTGATACGGTGATGAGTCGTATAGATAGATTTATTATCTTTGAAGAAGTAGTTGTTAGCTAGAAGATAGTTGGTCAGTTCATAGGTGCTAAAGATTTATCGGATCACTACACAATTTGGTTGAAAGCTAGCATTGAGGACTAGGGCCCCAAAGCCTTTCAGGTTCAGTAATTGTTGGACTTATCATGTTGATTTTAAAAAATTTATCAAGGATGAATGGTTTATGTATGAGGTCATAGGTAAGGGGACTGTGTTCTTAAAGAAAAACATAGAATGTTAAAGCAGAGTCTAAGAAAGTGGAATGTTAATGTTTTCGGGTGGATCAATTTGAAATTCGATGATTTTGTTGAAAACCTGAACGAGTTGGATTTTCAAGATGGTAACCTCGTTGTTAGTCCGGTGGAAGACTTGGCTTCTAAAAGGGTGGAGGCTTCGAAATAAGTTTGGAGATGTCTCAACTTGAAGGAGAGTTTTCTTAGACAAAAATCCAGAGCTCTATGGTTCAACGAAGCGGATAGGAACTCGAGTTTCTTCCACAGGGTCATGCGTGGCAGATATAGGAGGAATTCCATTAACTATGTTGAAACCTGTAATGGAAAAAAGGAGTGGTAGAGGTTAAGCATGAGGTGCGAGCTTTTTTCAAGGAGAATTTTAAAGACTTGAATGTTGCCAAACCTATTTTAAGTGGTATTACCTTTGGTTGTCTGTCCGAGAGAGACAACTTGCCCCCTGAGGCTGTTTTTTTGTTTGAAAAGGTCAAGGATGTCGTTTGGAGTTGTAACGGCTCTAAAAGCCTAGGACTAGACGGTTTTTCCTTTAACTTTTTTAAGAGCTGATGAGAGATAGTGAAATGGGAGGTCGTGAGGTTTGTTCAGGATTTCCATGCCAATCCTAGTTTGACTAAGGCTATTATGATTTCTTTAATTACCCTTGTTCCCAAAGTTGTCAACCCCTAGAAGATGGTTAACTACAGACCCTTATGCTTGGTTAGTGCTTTCCAAAAGATTTTATCGAAGGTCTTAGCCGTTTGTCTGAAAAAGGATATTGGTAGCATCATTTCTGCAGAACAGACAACATTTGTTGCAGGTAGGTACATGGATGATGGGGTTGTTCACAACGAGATTATAGACCACGCGAAGCGTTCGAAGAGGGAATGTATGGTTTTAAAGGTGGATTTTGAAAGAGCGTATGATTGTGTTAGTTAAGATTATGTTAGGTTTTTGTTGAGAAAGTTTAACTTCGGTCCAAGGTGGTGCTCGTGGATGGAAGATATTGTTTTTTCCGGTTCCATGTTGGTTCATGTCAATGGAAGTGCGACTAAGGATTTCAAGGTGGAAAAGGGGCTTAGACAAGGAGACCCTTTGTTTCCTTTCATTTTTATCATGGTAATTGAAGGCCTAACTAGATTGATGAAGAAAGCAGATGAGACAAGTTTGTTTAAAGAGTTCAAGGTGAATGATGCAACTACTTACAGTTTGGTGCAATTCACTGACGACACTTTATTCGTGGGAGAAGGTAATTGGGAGAACCTCTGGTGTTTCAAGGCGTTACTCAGAGGTTTCGAAATGGTTTTGAGATTGAAGGTTAACTTTCTTAAAAGTATCTTGTGTGGGATTAATTTGAAAGAAGAATTCCATGTTGCTGCTTTAACTTTCCTTCATTGTGCGATAAGTAAAATTCGTTTCATGTTTCTGGGAATAACGATAGGCGATAATCCGCGTAAAGCTAAGCTTTGGAATCATGTTCTGGAAGTGTTTAGGAAGATATTGGCAGTGTGGAAAGGCAAGAACTTGTCTTTAAGGGGAAGAGTGGTTTTGATCAACTCTGTGTTGAATGCGCTGCCAATTTTCACTCTCTCGTTCTACAAGGCCATATGGTAGTTTTAAAGGAGATCATTAGGATTTAGTTCAGTTTCTTGTGGGGTGGTGATTCAAATCATAAGACTATTCATTGGATTAACTGGAAGAAAGTGTGTTTGCCAAAGAAGAAAGGAGGTCTTGGGATTAAAGATATAACTTTGTTCAATAAAGCTCTTTTGCTCAAGTGGAAATAGAGGTTTTTGTCTGAAGAAAGAACATTATGGAAAGGCATTTTTTAGCATAGATATTTGCCTCTGAATTCGAGTCTGGCAGCGGAAGTATTGAGTTTTGCAGGGGTTACCGGACTGCTCGAAGTCCATTTTATGGAGGGATTTAATGTCTATTGGTATTGATATGGAGCATCTATTAAATTTGTTTTCTGGTAATATTCAGGGTAAATTAGGAGATGGCAGCAAGATCCCATTTTGGCATTGCAATTGGATGGAGTCTCAACCTTTCAAGGTTGTTTTTTTCTAATCTTTGTTCTGTCTTTTCTAACCAAAAGAGTTGTGTGGCTGAGACAGGTTTTTGGATCGGACCATCGTGGCATTGGTTGTGTCAGGTTCCTGTTCTTCCTCAAGGATCCGTTATGCGGCAAAAATTGGAGGATCTCACTTTCTCGTAGGCTGAGCGCGGGCCTGATCTGCAATGCAAAGACAAATTTAAGTGGATCCTTGAAGATGATGAAGTGTTTTTTGTCAATTCGTGCTATTCACTGCTAACTCAAGCCAACCAGAAGTCTTTCTTTGTTGAAGAAGTAGTGGCTAAGGCGTTGCGATTTCTTTGCAGCTCTAAAATTCAATCCAAAATTTAGTTTTTTTTCTTGGAGACTTATATTGGACAGAATTGTGACAAAGGACTAGTTGGCGAATAAAGTTATTATCATTAGAAGTAACAGTCGGATTTGTGTTCTTTGCGGATGCTTAGATGAAAATATCCATCATTTTTTTTTCTGGATTGTGTTATTGCTCTTAATGTGTGGAAGGGAATAGAGAAGTGGCCCGGGGTTGAGTTCGAGAGTTTCGACAACTGTGTTGACTCTTTGATTTTCTTTGTCTGTTTGATGCGTAATAAGGTTGGAAAGGATTGTGGAAATTTCATATGGTCGTATGTCGTGTGGGTTATATGGAGGAGCAGAAATGATGTTACTTTTAATAGTTTGGGTTTTGACGTCGAGAACTCGTTGTACTTTATCAATTTCCTTTCTTGGAGATGACTTTGTTTAGAGGTTTGTGGGTATAATGTTTTTTCTTTTTATGATTGGTTTACTTCCCTGGTAAGTTGTTTAAAGCGGAAGTAATTCCCGCCTGGCTCTTTTGTATGGGTTTTGAGTACCCCTTGTGCTCTTGAGTGAATTTCATTGCCTATTTAAAAATAATATTAATTATTATTGTGAATCAAAATTAGAAAAAATATTGGACAATAATTGATTATTCTAGGTCTAAACCTTAAGAATATTTATGAGAAGTGGTCTATGTTCACATAATAGGTTATAAGTGATCAATTCTTGTTAGGCATAAATACACATCCTTGAAGTAAATATGTTCACAAACATGATTTAAATATTATAACAAATAGGCATAAATACACATCCACGAAGT